TCACAAACATATTATATATAATATAAAATTATATAAAAATGTATATACAATATGCAAAAAAATCTCTCTAAAGCAAAATAATAATCACAATATCTTTCATGCAAACATACAGACAAACTCGGACACACACATACACATACGTAAACACACAACATACACATATACACACAAACTAAAACACACAAACACACATACAAACAAACAGACAAACAAATAAACACACACATCCACATACATACACCAAAATCCGCTCTCTCGAGCTTAAGAGGTAATCGAGCTTAATGCTGTGCTGAAGTATCTCATAAAGTGTCAAATGGCTAATCGTTATGAAAAATCAAAATTCGTAAAGCTATCTCTTGTCCCTGTAATGAAGACAATGAACAAATTATGATCCGGCAACAGACAATTATTGCTAACCTGCAATATTTGCGCTACTGATCACATTGTGCACTAATTTCTAGGGCTTGGTGTAACTTGGATTGAGAGGAGTCATACTGTGTTAAAATATACAAAGTTACATTTCGGAAGTCATTTGACACCTGAATTCGTGTGTCATATCAAGTTCTCAACCCACGGCGCATCATGCACAGGAACAAGCACAATAAACCACTCTTTATCACTGGATATCAGTACTAATATAAATAATAATAATACATTGCATGTATATAGCGCATTTCCAGAAAGAAGTGCTCAATGCGCTGTGCAATAATACAAAGAACATATGAAGCGCACAGCTCGTTTAGTAATCCTCTTTCTCTCTCTCGCTCTCTCTCTCTCTCTCTCTCTCTCTCTCTCTCTCTCTCTCTCACTAGTCTCACTCTATCTCTGTCTGCCTGTCTGTCTGTCTGTCTGTCTGTCTGTCTGTCTGTCTGTTTTTTCTCTCTGTCTCTGTCTCTGTCTCTCTCTCTCTGTCTCTCTCTCTCTCTCTCTCTCTCTCTCTCTTTCTCTCCAGTACATCCCTGGATAAAGACAATCCCACACAGCTTACCCAGACACCCTCGCACACATTGAGGAATTCACACAGTCATAAGTTCTTATAGAACAGGACAGCATGAATAAACGATACTGAGGGAACAAAATAGATACTGAGAGAACATGATAATATTTGTATTGGGAATGTCGGAAATTTCAAATTGAAGCTGGACGGAAACAAATGCGTTTTAAGTGCTGATTTAAACTTTGATAAAGGGGTGGACTCCCGTAGATGAACTTGTAAAGCGTTCCACAAAGAGGGGGCGTGGTGTGAAAAAGCTCTCCCTCCAAGTCTCTGAATTTTGCTTTGGACAGGTCTTAAAAGTCTTTTCGTCGCCGATCTTATTAAAGGCCAAGATGGTATATATTCGATGACCATGTCACAAAAATATTATTTATGATGGTGCAATGTTGTTGACACACTTAAAACAAAGAACAATTATTTTTTTACTGAATTCGTGCTTTCACCGGGAGCCAATGTAGTTGAATTAGCATTGGTGTTATATGCTCTTTGAGACATTTCTTTAAAATTGTGCGATTTGCTTGGTATTCACTCTTGAGTGACCAGCTTTTTATTTATTGTTCCTTCTAAGCTTTGCTTTTTTGTGTTCAGGTGAAATGATTATTATGGCTTTATACCCAATTGAAAAACCGTTGAGAGAAAAATGAAGCCTATAAAATCAGCGAAAAATAAATATGCTGATCCTCAATTTAATAATGCCTCGATAGCTGGCAAACTTTACCAAATATAATCTTACTTGAAAAGGAACTTGATCATTTATGCTCCGGGATTTCGAAAATAAAATGCGAAGTTTTGTACAATTGTAGCAAAAAAAGTGAAAAAAGGGAAAATTCATGCTTTCTATGCACATAAATCAAAAATGACTATATTAATCAAAAATCCAACAAGAGGAAATTCAGAACAATGTGTTGTTGGCATCCTGTGAAAGTTACATTGAAATTGAACAATAACAGGGCAGAAAAATGGGATAATGTGTGAAAAAATGGAATTGTGAGAAAACAGCCGATAAAGATAAGAACAGACTGGAAAAGTGTGCTTTCGCAGAAACACTTTGACAAAAAAGACAGCTTTAGGGTGTAGCAAGGCTTACATACGTTTCTGGATATTGTTAGAAAAATGTACAGGTACTTTACTATGTAATAATCCCAAGTTGCATAATTTACCACAAAACAAGATTTCTAGGTGCCCCACCAGCCCTTAATGTTATTTGTATTAACATTATTATTATTGTTATTATTATTATTGTTATTTATATTATTATTTCATTACTGTTAAATATGATCACCATCTTCATTTTTATCATTAACATCACCATAATTGTTGTCATACTTGAAGGTCAGTGAACCATACCACCCTCTACTCCCCCGGTTATTTACATTTTGCACATCAGAGAACGGGGGCTGCAAGTGCTGGGTTACATCACACACTCTAGTGTTTAGAAACAGCCACGGAACAAACATTTTCCCAGGAGAAAAACGAAACATTCATTCTTTATTAGCACTGTAAATGACAGGACGAGAGCAACGTGAACTAAGAATAAACTATCATCTAAGGGCGAAGGCGGCGAAAACAACGAATAAGCCACTATCTCATCATGGACAACGGCGGTGTGAACTACAACTGGCCCCCTCACACAAGTATTTATACTCCCTCCTCACTGACTTGTAACGTGAGTAATTCTTATCATCTCTCCTCACTCGCTGTCCGCGCTGAAGTGGTTGTTACTGTAAACACTCCACTAGTTACACTTTCGTCTCTCAGTGTCTCAGCCTACTAACTCGGTCACTATTAGTCTTTATCACACTTTATTGTAACCAGTCGTTTCTTTGCTTAGTTTGTCCCTGATTTTTTAAAAGGAGCACGAACATCTTACGCCCCCTTAAGCACATTTTCCTTTAGTTGGGAGACGGGCTTCTTCGATCATGCCTGTCAGGCCAACATTGTTGAGTAGGATGTGACACCCCAGTACACTGATGTCAATACTAGCTAGATTAGTCCCCACATGGGAACAGACTCACGTCTTCTGTGAGCTCTGAAAAATAGTATAACTAATCATTTCAACACTGAAGACTGTATATCTTTCATCCTCAAACGAATTCACAATTACGGGCTACGATTTGTTTTTATTCTCTTGTTCTCATTCATTCTTATCTATGGTCGTCTGTCCTTCTCATTTTTTAAAAACATTTTTCTTCTCTGTGGCGGTCTGTTCTTCTTTGGCTCTCATTTTTGTTTCTCTGTGGTCGTCTGTTCTTTTCTTGTCCTCATTCGCGTTCTCTCTGGTCGTCTGTTCTTCTTTTGTTATCTTTCATCCTTCTCTCCGGTCGTCTTTCCTTCTCTTGAAATCATGTATCCTTCTCTCTAGTGATCTGTCCTTCTCTTGTGATCATTCATCCTTTTCTCTGGTCGTATGTATGTCTGCTGTGATCATTAATACTTCTCTGTGGTCGCTACCTTTACCTTACTCTCATGTTTTCCTTCTCTATGGTCGTCTATCCCTCTATTGCTCACATTTCCCTTCCCCTCGGTCATCTGTTCCTCCCTGTGATGGTGTGAAGGACAGAGTGTTTACACCTCCGTATGTGACCTGACTGTCGTGTCGCCAGCCTCACAACAACACAGCATAGCCCACAACACGATGCGACAAATGACGGTCACCACCGTGAGCACACGACACTGGACAGTGATCTGGTCCCTGACTTTACTCACTCTCAGCTCTGTCAGCCATGGATTTATCATCGAGGAAACCATCCCACAATACGGTGAGTCGCAGTTTTATTTATCGTTTGAGATCAAAAGGAAATGCTTTTACGACCTACCCACC